TTTTCTCTCTTGCCAGTCTGAGTATCTTGTCTTTGTCTGTGGTTTTGGTCAATCTGTCTATAATGTGTCTTGGAGAAGATCTTCTTTGGTTGATCTTATTTGGGGTCCTTTATATTTCTTGGGTCTGGATCTTTGAATGCCTCTCTAGCTTTGGGAAGTGTTCTTCCAGGATTTCATGGAGTCGATTATCAATGCCTTTATCAGTCTCTTCACCTTCTGAGATACCAATTATCCAGATGTTTGGACGTTTAATGGTATCTAGTACTTCTCGTATATTATTCTCATTTAAGGGGGCTATTTTCTCAGTCTTCATGGAAGATTTTATTAGTCCAGCTATTCTGTCTTCTGCATCTGAGATTCAATTTTTTATATGATCTAGTATGCTTTTAATACTTTCAAAGGAGGTTTTGACTTCCTATATTATACCCTTTATCTCCAGCAGTTCCATTTGACTCTTTTTTATGATGTGTACTTCCTCTTTCAGCTCTCACAAGAAATTCTTCACCTCCTGGGACTCATCTGCTTTTTTCTTCTGGTGTTCATTGTACCTCTTCTTTTCTATCTCTGTTAGTTTTGTCATTATGAATACTCTAAATTCTTTATCGGACATTTCCATGATTTCCATTATACTGTCAGTGGATGAATAGGAGTTATTCTTTTCCCTAGGAGGTGAGGTATTTTATTGGTTTTGCATATTCCTTTGGGAAGTGTTCTTCCAGGATTTCATGGAGTCGATTATCAATGCCTTTATCAGTCTCTTCACCTTCTGAGATACCAATTATCCAGATGTTTGGACGTTTAATGGTATCTAGTACTTCTCGTATATTATTCTCATTTAAGGGGGCTATTTTCTCAGTCTTCATGGAAGATTTTATTAGTCCAGCTATTCTGTCTTCTGCATCTGAGATTCAATTTTTTATATGATCTAGTATGCTTTTAATACTTTCAAAGGAGGTTTTGACTTCCTATATTATACCCTTTATCTCCAGCAGTTCCATTTGACTCTTTTTTATGATGTGTACTTCCTCTTTCAGCTCTCACAAGAAATTCTTCACCTCCTGGGACTCATCTGCTTTTTTCTTCTGGTGTTCATTGTACCTCTTCTTTTCTATCTCTGTTAGTTTTGTCATTATGAATACTCTAAATTCTTTATCGGACATTTCCATGATTTCCATTATACTGTCAGTGGATGAATAGGAGTTATTCTTTTCCCTAGGAGGTGAGGTATTTTATTGGTTTTGCATATTCCTTGTGACCCTGCAGTGATTTTTAGTCATCTGATGGGTTATCCGTTTCTTCCTAAATTCTAGAAGATCAATCTGAGTGATCAGAGGTGCACAGGAGGATGTGGTCTGCAAATTCTTGGCATTGCGTTTTTCTCCCTTTGTGACAAGGATGCAGTGGAAGTTGAGGAATATGAGGACCCAAATAGTATTAATACTTGGCAACTTTTCATTCAGACTTGTCTAGACACTCAGTAAGTGGAAGTTGAGCAGCAAAATGATGAGGTTAAAGAAAAAGGATAAGAAAACAGAGAAAGAGAGAAAGAAAGAAAAAAGTGGATAAAGCAAGCAAAAAAGTTATTTACTTGTTAATTATAAAAAAAAAGATCAATAACACTAGATTTCAGCTCTCATGGTGGACTCAGTCTTCTTCTGCCCTACCTTTTCTTGCCTAGGTGAGAGAGGGAGAGGGGAGGGGATTTTTACCAAGATAATGGAGGATTTCAGAGCCTAGGAAAAACTTTCCCTTAAAAAAATTTTTGTTAAAATATAGAAAAATTAGGAAAAAAAATGAAAAAGACAGAGACAGAAAGGTAGAAAAAGATAGACAGAGAAAAGGAGACAGGGGCTCTACCAGGGTAGATACCAGGGTAGATTCTCAGCAGAACATCTTCAGTGATCTTATCTCTGTAGGAAAAACTTTCCCTTAAAAAAATTTTTGTTAAAATATAGAAAAATTAGGAAAAAAAATGAAAAAGACAGAGACAGAAAGGTAGAAAAAGATAGACAGAGAAAAGGAGACAGGGGCTCTACCAGGGTAGATACCAGGGTAGATTCTCAGCAGAACATCTTCAGTGCTCTTATCTCTGAAATCACTAGATCTCAGCTCTCATGGCAGACCAAAATTTTCTAATTTTCTAATAAGCCCCAAGGTGATCCCAGAGAAAGAGTGAACACAACTGAATACATACCTACCCTAGGACATAGAAGCTTCTAGAAGAGCAGAAAATATGACCCAATGCATGGCATTGCTAGGAGGCCATGAGAAAGCCAGGTCAGGTGCCACCTGCTCTCTTGGGCCTTCCTGAGCCTTGGGGTCTGAGAAGATGGTCAAGGGATGGATTTCCAAGTGGCAGGGGTGGACAGGAGGGCTGAGGTCCAAGGGGAGGTCTTTTCTCTTGTGGCTCTGAGCCCTTCATCAAGGATGCTGCTCGCCAACAGGAAGCGGCATTAGCCAATCCCTACTTTTTGGATTGTGGAACTGTGCCAGAGACAAGATGAAGGAGCCACCCCTCTGGCCTGTCCCTGGACCCTGGCTGTGTACTCAGGCCTATGTCCAGCCTCACGCCAAAAGGGCTCAATATCCTAGCCTGTGTCTCTCATGGGAGACTGTTCCTTCTGTCTGGCTGTTTCTTCT